TATAGAAATAGATAGGAAAAATCTTTGAAAATCTTCTTCTCAAGAACCACTGGGCCAGAAAAGCTGAAACTTATGTGGAAGCATCCTGGTATAGTGTAGATTCTAAATTGTTCAAATAATGACCCCCGGGGGAAGGGCGGGGCCACAATGGGGAATCAAAGTTTTATATAGAAATATACTTGAAAAATCTTTGAAAATCTTCTTCTCAAGAACCACTGGGCCAGAAAAAGTGAAGCTTATGTGGAAGCATTCTGGGGTAGTGTAGATTCTAAATTGTAGGAATCATGACCCCCTGGGGAAGGGCGGGGCCATCATTGGGAATCAAAGTTTTACATAGAAATATATAGGAAAAATCTTTGAAAATCTTCTTCTCAGGAACCACTGGGCCAAAAAAGCTGAAACATATGTGCCCATGGAAGGATCATGGGGTAGTGTAGATTTCAAAATGTCTAAATTATGATCAGTGGGGTAGGGTGGGGATGCATTATGTATAACAAGGGGGAAATCTGGTAAAGAACAGAATGGTCAAAGCTTCTCAGGTGAGCGATGTGGCCCATGGGCCTCTTGTTAAGGTCTCATCTGAAGGACACGTAACTTTCACTTCAAAAGCCGAGCACATGGCGAAGGAACAGTTGCTACCCATTTTAACGACTAGGTCAGTTGCGGCCGAGATATGAACTCATGACCTCCCGATCACAGAGCAAGCACTCTACCAACTGAGCTACCATGAACGGTAAAAGAAAAATCATATTTGACCCAAGAGTCAAAGAAAATTCCAGTGGCCAGAACTTTTATCTAACAGTGTGTATTACAATTTGTTTTTGGTATGCTATAAATATTTATTATACCTCTATTTGTAATCCTCCATTTTTTTCATTTGTGTATCAGTATAATAAAACAGTTAAAAAGTAGGATATTATAGAGAGAAGTAGCAAGATTTCAGTTCCCCTTGATCAGAGGCTGTGCCTTGGGAAAAAGTCCTGGACATGTGGAACTGGAATTTTGCTAACACCCTCAATGATTTTGCTAACTCCCTCAATAATATACTTTATCTGTATACCATCATTAGTCTGATTGCTGTAATTAGCTAGTAGCTGAAGCTTCTAGCTAGCAGCTGAAAGTAGCTAAGGACCTGAAGAATTTTATATTTGGAAAGTTCATTACAACATATTTTTCAGTTTTTTCGCACATTAAGACAACAGGTTAAATAATTTGTGAAAATCCCCAGAATTAAAAATAAAAGTTAAGTCTTCAAACATAGTAAATGTTTTATTATCTTTTGAGTATTTATTCAATATTGCACACATAAGAATACAAATACATGTAAAATATGTAGGAAAAAAGAGATTTGTATAAATTATGAGTCAGTTTCACCAATTGAGACAAGTGGCATGATTTTCAAATGGTATCTCATGAGTGCTCTGTTCCATTGCCTAACTCAGTGTAGGTATTCAGAGACCTGCAGGAAAGTAAACATCTAGATTAAGTCTGTACATGATGATGTGAGGCGACAATTACATGTACACAGGGTAAAGGAATTTTGAAAGAAAGAATAAGATAGTGTCTAGAAAGTGAAGGGAAAATACCTGAAATTTACCTTGCTTTAGGATTTTTAAAAATGTTTATTTGAAGAAGAAATAAGCAAACACCCCTCCTAAGGCTCTGCCCACTATTGGTAATGTGACGCCTACAGCAGCCATGGCACCTGTCAATCAAATAATGTCATTTTAGGCCAATATACCACCGTTTTTTGATGAATCCAATCAAAATACTGTAAATTCTGCATGGTTATAACACAAAGTGTAAAAGTTTGACAATTTCTTTCATGTTTAATTAACGATCTTGTTTGCATGACCATATAACTACATTGTACCTGGACTGTATCCTGTTTTAGCTGTAGCCTTTTGTCCCTTGTTATTTAGATACGTTGTTTCTGTGAAAGACTCTTTGATAGGTACCATGGCAGGTATCTGTTAAATAAGGAGAGTACTAGAGATTGAATTTATTGCACAGCAAACTTTGACTCCTAAACACAGAGAGGGGATCAGGTACCATAATGAAGTAAGCATCTCCTTTTGACTGGTTGGATTAGCTTTGAGGTCCTTGTCAATTTGGGGGAGACAATTTATACAGAAAAGGTCAGATCAAACGGGAATAAAATGGAACTCTCTATAAGTTAATAAGGCCTTTTATTCAGTAATACTGCATTGTAAGTAGTAGATTTTAAGTCAATGCTGAGGAAAAAAGGTCAACATCATAATTACGGTAATAGGTATAAGTAAGTCATAATGGTATTCATTTTGTCTTTTAAAGTTAAATCAACTTAATACCGTAAGGTATAAGCCTAGGTCAAAATGAATGAAAAAAGAACACAAAAAATTATTTACATCAAACTGGATACATATACTGTACATACATTTGGGAAGGCTGTTTTGTCTAGAGCGATGGCGAATTGTGAGTTTTGGACTTTGGTCTGTAGCGTGTTGGCGGCAACACTTAGCGGTGTCTCTTTGATTACACTCTGTACGTCTCCGACAACTGGTGCCACGTCCAGGATCTCAAACGACACGATTATGTCTGTAGGACTGTAATATACCTGTAAATAGGTAAAGTGTTAATAAACTGAGACTTAGTGTTGCCACATCCAGGATCTCAAATGATACGATTATGTCCGGGGGAGTGTAATATACCTGTAAATAAGTAAAGTATTATTATGTCTGTAGGACTGTAATATACCTGTAACTAGGTGAAGTGTAATGTGATAGTTTTATGTCCGTGGGACTGTAATATACCTTTAAACAGGTAAAGTGTAATGTAATAGTTCTATTCCTAAATGATTCTCTCTGGCAGTTTTAAAACACTAAATTCAATTAAATTGGCATATAAGAAAAATAATGCCAGTTTTACAACCCTTAACAAGCAAATATTTGGCATGGCAACAATTATTTACGTCTAATTTATGTAAAATATGCAACTCTTATGTAGGAATCCATAAAACTAGAAACTTCCCTATGAAAGTGCTTTATTCAGTTACTTGTATCTACATGTAACAGGGTTATCTTGATACTGAAAGGACAAACTAAGCATTGTGCTTAAACTTTAACTTAAGTTATACTTACATTTAAGTTGGCTATCCTGATAACTGATACACTGAGAGTGGAAACAAGACTTTTGAGGATGTTGTACTTGAAGGTTTCAAGGTTCCCATCAACAGCTGATTTGTAATCTCCTATCAAAGGAAATTAAGAAATTGTTTGTTTGTTTTTTTATCAAACTGTAAGACAGTAAAAGGGCGATTTAATGATTAATGGTTGCATAAAAAAAAAAAAATGTAATCCATTTTAGCACTTTTTCTTACTAATAAAAATATAATTTTCCAAATATATTGCGAGTAACTTTAAAACAAGAGGCCCACGGGCCTTATAGGTCACCTGAGTATCATGTAACAACTTTCCAGCGATTGTATTTGGTTCGTGTTTTAATCCAAAAGCCATGAAATTCACAAATTTTGAAGAAGGCACCATTGCTTATCAAAGGGCAGATTTCAAAGCATTAATTTATTTTTAGCTCTACTGGTCAGAGACCAGAAGATCTTATGCGATAGTAATGCGTTCGTCCGTCCGTCCGTCTGTCTGTAAACAATTTTTCAAAATGCTACTCCTCCTACAGTTTTGGTTTGATTTTAATATAACTTGGCACACAAGTAGACTACACTAAGATACATAATTCTGTGTATCGGTTTTTGATTTCGATGAACGGTTTTGCCGATGTTACTAAAAATAGAAATTTCTGTGAAATTCTTTCAAAATGCTACTCCTCCTACAGTTTTGGTTTGATTTTAATATTACTTGGCACACAAGTAGACTACACTAAGATACATAATTCTGTTTATCGGTTTTTGATTTCGATGAACGGTGTTGCCGTTGTTACTAAAAATAGAAATTTCTGTGAAATTCTTTCAAAATGTTATGTCTCCTACATTTTTGGCCTGATTTCAATATAACGTGGCCATCAAGTAGACTAAACTAAGATACACAATTCTGTGTATCGGTTTCTGACTGATGAACATTATTGCCTTGGTTACGAAAAATAGAAATTTCTGTTAATACTCTCAAAATGCCACTCCAATTACAGTAATTTTTAGTCTGATAATAATATATAATGTGGCATGCTAGTAGACTTCACTAAGAACATAGATTTAATAAAGGATCATTATTCTATTTATTGCTGTTGTAAAGTTTCAATTCCCAACTGCTTAAGTACTTTACTCTTCCTTTGCTATAAGTACAAACCAGTAGAGCTTCAGTCTCGACAGAGACTTCTGGTTATTGAACAGAGCCACAGAGATACAGGAGCAATACAAGATGGTGACTGTCAGAAAACTGGTTCTCAAGTATGGAGTTAACCGGGTACCAGACAAACAGTCCAATGAGGTGTGCTTGTTTTATTTACATGTAATCACTTACAAACAGTACACATGTACAAAATCTTCATTCAAAAACTTAATTATATTTCTAGATAATTATTTACAAGTTTTTAAAAGTAGATCTATTTGTAGGGCCATTATTTACATACATACAGCACACATGTACAAAATCTAGGTACAAAACTTATATCTGTTAATTCTATTTGTAGGACCTGATCAAGTACATCCTGGTCCAAGACAAGCATGACTGTGTACAGGACGCCCTGAGTGTGATGGAGGCATATGGTACAGGCGCGGATCCAGGAATTGGAGTAAGAGGGGGCGCCAACATTAGGCAAGGGGTCTGAGGGCCGCCTTGAGGCCCCCAGTGGGTCCAGGGCAAAGCCCTGGTGGGGGCCCAGGGGGCGAAGCCCCCGGAAGCTCCTGGATTTTAGAGATTTTGTAGGGTAAAAATGAGGTCTACCAATTAGACATATTTACATTTTCTAGACGAAACTGTGATTTACGCTAACTTTGACAATTTTAGGGGGGCGCGCGCCGGGTGCGCCCCCCCTTAAATCCGCCACTGCGGTAACACCGAGTACTAACAGGAAATCTGTCTCTTCAAGTGTAGACATCTCATTCACAAAAACAAGGCAAGATTACAAGATAATAAAGAAAAAATCTGTCTAACATTTGATGATCTCCTTGTCCATGAAATGATAGGAAAAACTAGGCATTAACTAAAAATTTTGGGTATATCTTAAATATAATTGCTGGAAAAAAATATTTTTGTGTGAAAAAAAATTTAGCCACTATGAAAAAGTTTTCCTCAAATAATGCAGTGGAAATCTTGTCAAATTCATTTCGCAACTCTAAAATTTAGAAGAAAAGATTCTTTCAAATTGGGTTTGAATTATTTTGGCAGTTTTTAAATAATTCTTAGATAGTGTTTTGTGTATGGAGAAATATCCTAAAACCTTGTGTTTTCTTATACAATGTACTACAGCAGCCTATATTGAGCAAAACAAAAAGTTTTCAGAAGCATACATTATAAAACACATCAAAGTTTAACTTATTTTCAATGGACATCCATTATTTTTTAATGGTAAAAGATATTATTTGATAATATGACTGATATATGTATTATTACAAGATTCCATAGTTAAACCATACTGATAAATCAGTTACATGTATATTACATACCTCTAATTGTACAACACAATAATGTAGATCACTGCAGATACATGTACATGTATTTAATTTCCTTCACTTGTCTATTTCCATATTGAGCAACAAACAGATTGTCATTTGTATCTATACACATTCCCCAGGGTCCACTCAGTACACAGTCTATGTAACGGAGGAACTGTCCATCCTGGTCTATGATGTGGACACAGTTATTGTTATAATCAGCTGTAAGGATGTGACCCTGACTGTCTGTGGTGATTCCTAGTGGATCGAATGGTCGGTTATTTGGAGCAGGAGTATGTCCAGTGTACCTGAATCTCAGTTTCCCGGCCTGATTGACCACCACTACTGCTTTAGCTCCAATGTCAGACACACAGATATCCTGGTTCTTGTTCTCTGTTATGTATCTTAGAATATAAGAACTAGGTTGATAGAGAGGTTTACCTTTATCATCAAACTGAATGGTTTGTTTCACTGTGGAGCCAGAGTAACGGACAACTTTTGTTTGTTTGCCATCATCACTTTCCATGATAACCAGGAGGTCACCAGAGGAGGTACTACAGACACCATTAGGTCTCCAGTTCTGTAGTCTGATCACCTCTATCTTCTCATTCTTCACAATGTTCACAGTTCTATCAATGTAATCAGTATAAACTAGATCTCCACTTTTTGTCACTGCTATGTTAAATGGTATGTCCCTTGACTTGGTTCTGATTGACTTGAGTAGTGATCCCTGATTGATGCTGTAGAGTTTCATGATGTTGTCATCTCCTCTTGTCCAGATTTCTTCATCACTCAGACAGGCCACATTGTAAAGGTCATATTTATACCGAGTGTCTATGGTGGTGACAGTCTCTGTTTCATCAAGCAGCTGTTTGACTGGAGGAGAGGATCCAGCTTCTGGTGATTTCTGTGTTGTCTTCATGCTGTAGTCATGTTTATCTGATGTCAAAGAACTTGATGATATGGCTCCAAACAGCTTACTAAGTTCTTCTCCTTGGATTTTTCCTGGAATAAATTTAAGTAAAGATGGATTGATTTTGTGTGGAAGATTTCTGTATGTGTGTACATTGGACGTGACACTAAACAGTTTTGACAAATCATTGGTGTCTATTGTAGTTTCCAATGAATCGAATTCATCCTTGATGTCAGATATTGTCTTGTTTATTTCATCCAGATGTTTCTGTAGAGTTTGTAACTGTGTGTTTTTCATCTCATCAACTTCAGCTTTAAGTTTCTGGACAAGTTTGTCAATTTCTCTGTGCCAGTTCTCTCCATGTTTTGTTATGGCTGTTGAGAGATCTCCATATTCCTTTTCTAACTGACTCATTCTGTTTTGTACATCAGAGGCAATGTCCTGGTAGGTGGGATAAATTGTCTTATTTAATTCAGTCTGTTCTTTCATGAATTTAGTCTTTCTTTCATCCACAACTTTCAAGATTTCTGATACCTTATGACCTAGATGTTGATCAGATCCGATACACTTATGGCAGACAGGAATGTCACATTGATTACAGTACATTTTACATTGTTCTTTATCTATGGAGTTTACATCCAGGGTAGAGGGGGGTAGATTTCCTGGCCTGAAATTTGACGACCTTGTGGTCCTTGGATTCATCAGATATCATGTGTTTTCCTACACACGCTGTACACAGGTTGACAAGGCATGTATCACAGTGCATCTGTACCACAGCAGTCTCGCACAGGTCACATCGCATCACGTCCTGGGCACTGGTACGGGGGTCCATCATTAGATTTTGTGACTGAAGCATAAAAATTCAACATTTATGAATCTACATTTTTGAGTGAGTTTGAGGGCAACTTACATTTTTTTATACTCAAGAAACACAGTTTGACTTAGGCCAAAGGGAAATACAAATGTAAATTATATAAACAAGATCATTAACAAAACTTTGTATTACATTAAGGTTCATTTAAATTTTTGGGAATGAAATTTTAGCCTGTACTAATGAATTTTCAGTGACTCTGAACTGTTATGCAAAGAAAAACTTGAACACTTCTTACCTGACTTCAGTAATGGCCGCCCTGTTGATCGATCTCCAAGTACAGTCTCTATACACACTGATCACCTGACATACCTGTGTTATCTACCTGTCAGGTGTATTTACTTCCTGGTTAGAGGGGGATTTAAATACCTTCAACAACGGCTTGAATGCAGGAATTTTATTTATAAACCATTTCATGTTTTTTAATGCTCTAGAAAATATCATTGTTCCTACACATCTGAATATGTATAAAAAGATTAATTATTTTTTAATGAATTTTTTTTTTTTGGAAAAAACAATCTGTATTTTCCTTTTAACAAGCAAAGGAATCTGAAGTGCAGTTAAGTTTAAAAAAAATACTGTCAGATAGGATGGAATTTGAATCTAAAAAAAACAATTATTGTCCTCCTAAATGTTCTCCTCTGAAATGACTTGACCAAAGTAAATCATTAAAAGTTGCATCTCCCTGGCCCTTTGAGCAAGCACGATGCCACAAGAGTAATTGATACATAATTTAATGTAAAAAAAATATGGGTGGGGGGGGGGAGTAAATAGAACAACAAAGAAATAAGCAATATGACATCAATAGTTATATGTACACAGAACCATGTAATATAGGGGCTTATTTGATTAAATTACATGTATAACATCTGGGGCCACAATTGCTGGTCAAAATTTAAGACGACAAGGTCAATAAGTCTTGAATATGAAGAAAGATGTGATAAAGATTCAGGAACTAAGTTGGGGTCACAATTTAGGATCAAAGTTTTTTTTATCTGCAGAAATAAACTGATTTTCTCAAGTTTTAATTAGAACAAAAATTTTCCTTTTTAGAAACTTGATTAAAAACCTTAATACAGTAAAACTCGTTTAGTACGAACACGGATATTGCAAATTCACGGATATAGCGAAGTCATCTAGGATCCCCAGCTTTATAAATCTAACGAATTCCCTATACGGATGGATATAACAAATTACGGATATAGCGAAGTAATTTCATAGGTCCCAGCGACTTCATCATAACCGAGTTTTACTGTAAACTGAAATCTTCATTTGTTGAAACTGGTTTTCACAATTACTGTAAAGGATTAAATTAATCATCCAGAAGGAGAATGATGACTCAATTGGACAACGATCTATGGGTGAAGGGGAACAAAAATTTTGAATTTCATGTTCCCTGCCCCCTGGGGCCTGAGGGGTGGGCCCAAAATTACTAAAATGAATGCAATCTTTAAAAATCTTCTTCTTTACTCCTGGACATCAAGCAGTCAAACTGTTTGCATGATTGTTATCAGCATTGAGTCCTTTACCAAAATTGTGAAATTCATGGCCCTTGGGTCAGGGGTACTAGGGTGCTAGGGTGGGGCTAAATAAGTATATAGTGAAAATGCATTTTTAGCTCTACTGGTCAGAGACCAGAGAAGCTTATGCGATAGTAATGCGTCCGTTGTCTGTCAGTCTGTCCGTCTGTCTGTAAACAATTTTTCAAAATGCTACTCCTCCTACAGTTTTGTTACTAAAAATAGAAATTTCTTTGAAATTCTTTCAAAATGCTACTCCTCCTACAGTTTTGGTCTGATTTCAATATTACTTGGAACACAAGTAGACTACACTAAGATACATAATTCTGTGTATCGTTTTTTTATTTCGATGACCGGTGTTGTCGTTGTTACTAAAAATAGAAATTTCTTTGAAATTCTTTCAAAATACAACTCCTCCTACAGTTTTGTCTGATTTCAATATAACTTTGCACACAAGTAGACTACACTAAGATACATAATTCTGTGTATCGGTTTTTGATTTCAATGATCGGTGTTGCCGTGGTAACGAAAAATAGAAATTTTGAAATTCTTTCAAAATGCTACTCCTCCTACAGTTTAGTCTTATTTCGATTAATACTCTCAAAATGCGTCTCCAAATACAGTTAACTTGATTATTATCATAATTTAATGTGGCATGCAAGTAGAGTACACTAAGAACATAAAGAGACTTAATCAAGGATCATCAGGCCTATTCTTTTTATTGCTGTGGTAAAGTTTCCATTCCCAACTGCTTAAGAACTTTTCTCTTCACTTGCTATAAGTACAAACCAGTAGAGCTTCAGTCTCGACAGAGACTTCTGGTTAGTCAAAGTACCCCCCTGGTACCCCTGACCCAGCGTCCCTGAAAGTATCTATTTTGAAAGAGGCCCCTTTCTTCATTATAAGGCCAGCATTTTTTAGCTCTACTGGTCAGAGACCAGAAGAGCTTATGCGATAGTAATGCGTCCGGCGTCCGTCCGTCTGTCTGTCTGTCTGTAAACAATTTTTCAAAATGCTACTCCTCCTACAGTTTAACTTTTGGTCTGATTTCAATATAACTTGGCACACAAGTAGACTACACTAAGATACATAATTCTATGTATCGGTTTTTGATTTCGATGAACGGTGTTGCAGTGGTTACTAAAAATAGAAATTTCTTTGAAATTCTTTCAAAATGCTACTCCTCCTACAGTTTTAGTCTGATTTCAATATAACTTGGCACACAAGTAGTCTACACTAAGATACATAATTCTGTGTATCGATTTCGATGAACAATGTTGCCATGGTTACTAGAAATAGAAATTTCTGTGAAATTCTTTCAAAATGCTACTCCTCCTATAGTTTTGGTCTGATTTCAATTAAGAAATAAGGTATCATTTTGTTAGTTTTATTGAGATGTAAAACGGGTTGGTCACGTGATCAAATCCCATAAAGCCCGAAGGGCTTTATGGAAGATTTGATCATGTGCCAACCCGTTTTACATCTCAATAAAACTCAAAAAATGATACCTTATTACTTATATTTACATTTGTGACTTATTCATACTTTATATTTGCCTGATTGTTACTTTTCACGTGTGAAATGCGTTAATTTTTCAAACCCAACGGCATGTTTGTAATCCACTAAACGCGCGTCAACCCTTTATGAAGTCACAGAGAAATTACGTCGAACGTTTATCCAAACGCACATCTATAACCTCTTGACCCCGTACCTGTATTTACACAGTTATAAAAACGCTTGCCTTCAGTAGTGTTATATAAAGGAAAACATTTGCAAATGTAAATATTATAACTTGGCACACAAGTAGACTACACTAAGATACATAATTCTCTGTATCGGTTTTTGATTTCGAAGAACGGTGTTGCCGTGGTTACTAGAAATAGAAATTTCTGTGAAATTCTTTCAAAATGCTACTTTTCCTACAGTTTTGGTCTGATTTCAGTATAACTTGGCATACAAGTAGTCTACACTAAGATACATAATTCTGTATATCGATTTTTGATTTCGATGAACAATGTTGCCATGGTTACTAGAAATAGAAATTTCTGTGAAATTCTTTCAAAATGCTACTCCTCCTACAGTTTTGGTCTGATTTCAATATAACTTGGCACACAAGTAGACTACACTAAGATACATAATTCTGTGTATCGGTTTATGATTTCGATGAACGGTGTTGCCATGGTTACTAGAAATAGAAATTTCTGTGAAATTCTTTCATAATGCTACTCCACCTACAGTTTTGGTCCAATTTCAATATAACTTAGCACACAAGTTGACTACACTAAGATACATAATTCTCTGTATCGGTTTTTGATTTCGAAGAACGGTGTTGCCGTGGTTACTAGAAATAGAAATTTCTGTGAAATTCTTGCGAAATGCTACTCCTCCTACAGTTTTGGTCTGATTTCAAGATAACTTGAACATAAAGAGGCTCAATCAAGGATCATTATTCTATTCTAATTTATTACTGATATTAAGTTTCAATTCCCAACTGGTTATTAAAGTACATTTCTCTTCCTTTGCTATAAGTACAAACCAGTAGAGCTTCAGTCTCGACAGAGACTTCTGGTTTTTTGTTTAGGTTTAGTTATGAACATGAGAATAAAAAAGTCCCAAAGGAGAAGGAAATCAAATTTTTTTTTTGTGATAAATCAATTATTAACATTTGTACATTTTTTTATGCTATTATAATAGGCTCCTTACCACTGGACACATAATGCTTACAAATAGGAAAGTAAAACATTTAATTGCTTATTTCATCATCTGCCAGTTTGGGCCAGTTATATAAATTTTGTGATGTTGGTCAAAATATATTTTAAAAAATCAATTCTTTAAAAGTCTTTCAATATATCTTCATTTTTTAGCTCTACTGGTCAGAGACCAGAAGAGCTTATGCGATAGTAATGCGTCCGGCGTCCGTCCGTCTGTCCGTCTGTCTGTCTGTCTGTAAACAATTTTTCAAAATGCTACTCTTCCCACAGTTTTGGTCTGATTTCAATTTAACTTGGCACACAAGTAGACTACACTAAGATACATAATTCTGTATAATGGTTTTTGATTTTAATGAACGGTTTTGCCGTTGTTACTAAAAATAGAAATTTCTGTAAAATTCTTTCAAAATGGTACTACTCCTACATTTTTGGTCTGATTTCAATTTTACTTGGTACACAAGTAGACTACTCTAAGATACATAATTCTGTACATCGGATTTTGATTTCGACGAACAGTGGTCCCGATGTTACTAAAAATAGAAATTTCTTTGAAATTCTTTCAAAATGCTACTCCTCCTACAGTTTTGGTCTGATTTCAATATTACTTGGAACACAAGTAGACTACACTAAGATACATAATTCTGTGTATCGTTTTTTTATTTCGATGACCGGTGTTGTCGTTGTTACTAAAAATAGAAATTTCTTTGAAATTCTTTCAAAATACAACTCCTCCTACAGTTTTGTCTGATTTCAATATAACTTTGCACACAAGTAGACTACACTAAGATACATAATTCTGTGTATCGGTTTTTGATTTCAATGATCGGTGTTGCCGTGGTAACGAAAAATAGAAATTTTGAAATTCTTTCAAAATGCTACTCCTCCTACAGTTTAGTCTTATTTCGATTAATACTCTCAAAATGCGTCTCCAAATACAGTTAACTTGATTATTATCATAATTTAATGTGGCATGCAAGTAGAGTACACTAAGAACATAAAGAGACTTAATCAAGGATCATCAGGCCTATTCTTTTTATTGCTGTGGTAAAGTTTCCATTCCCA